AGGCGAAACTTGTGCGAGCTGTGGATTAACGAGGTCTTACTTTTTAATGTGTGATTCCTAACACGGAATGAATGAATATCAAATCTTATTACTGAGGATGTCTTCTAAGTAATCCAAAGTCTCCAACAAGATTTCCAAATATAATTCCCACATCGAAAATGTCTCAAAAAAAAGAGAACTATAATCTTGGTGTAGTATAGCAGAGCAAGCCAAACATTAACTCCATGTATCTCTTGGAAATGTGTAGCTCTACGTAAGAAGTAATTTTCTTGTCGCCAGTGAGAATGAATATTTCTGTCAAACCATCCGTTATTTGTAATTCTACCCTCATCACAACATAACTGACGATGTTGTTTGAGTAGATATCTTTGAAATATTTTTCTCCTACCATTTTTTTCAAGGATAAAACACAAGCACTACAGGAAAATCCTTAAGGCGCTCTAAGAGCGGTGCCTGTGCGATAGGAGCGATTCACATTGGATTTGAATCGCTGGAAACCGTTAAACGCAAATTGTGTATTTTTCTGACTTTGTGAAGTCTAAATTTAATTTATTTTCAAAACTGACATAGTCAATATAGAACTATGACGTTCAATCTCTCAATGATACTTCTTTGTTTTAAATTTTTCGGTATTTCACAGATCCTGAATCGATTAAATATCACTTTATTTGTTACTGAGAATGTCTTCTAAACTTACACAAAATACCAATTTCAGTCTCGCCATCACTTTTAGTTACTGTACAATAACTCTTACTCAAGGGTTTTTCAAATGTACCGTAAACTCTTCTCATTGCGTTGAAAATATCTTTTGGATGGCTGATAAGTCTCATTATAAAATTCCCCATGCGAAGCTAGAGATGCAGTGGCATTTCTCAAACGTCTAACATATCAACTTTCTCGTCATTAGACTATGACATTCAATGGAAAAAACTTATCACCTTATAAAAGGTCGATTCTGTACAGTGAACTGGATAGTTATCTCATTAGAATTTTTCTAGGCAATTGAGAATTCATTATGCTAAGTTTTATATGACTGACGGGACTGGGAATAGCCGTGGAATCATTTAGGTGGCCAGCGAGTTGTCAATTCAACGTACACATAACACACTGTACCTACACAATAAATAACTTCCTGAGGCTACGTGTTTACCATTGAATAATTCATAGAAAAAAGCTTGACTGAAGTAAAACTTCTTTAGCTTCGTCAATATATATTGTATATGCCGATGGGGCAATCACCCCGAAAATGGTCTATCAGTCGCCCATGTATAAAATACTAGTTTTGGCTGAAGCTCTAAAATATAAACACACTACTGGTGAAACTAGCCCTGTAGTAGGTATTATAAAAAATAATTTTCAATAATATCATAAATACAGTGCCAATCCAGTTTAACCGACTCTTCCTGATAAGAAATTTTGAGGCAATGTGAATAAAAACACCAAAAATTTATCACTAATGTGCAAGAGTTACTTTTTCAACAATGGCCTAGAAATAAACCTATTTCACAAAGTATGCCAGAGGATTTGATCTCCACAAACCTCATTTATATACCCCAAGTAATCACAATTGAGACTACCTACATAGGTACTCACTGTATCAAATTATCTAAAACCTCTACAATTTTTATACAGGGTGTTCCTTAAACACATGCTGATATTTAAGGAGGTAATTCTTAGACCCATTTTAAGGAAAAAAACGTCCTATGGACGTATGTCCTAAACGCCTTAACTTTTGAGATACAGGGTGGCAAAGTTTTCAAAAATAATCAGTTTTTTAATAATAACTGAGATAATTTTGTAGACATCTTTGTCATATTTGGTACATATGTTCCATGCCTCAAGGCGCATTTTCTGATGTACAATTTTCTTAATTTTCTCTGCTAGTGGCGTACGTACGAGTTTTGAAATGTATATTTTTGGCGAAAAAAATACTACGCCACTGCTTTATCTTGAATTAAAAATTATTTTTAAAATCTCCATACATTTTTGAGCACATTTGATTTGCTGGATTTTCTTTGTCCGACGCATGGTTTTCGCTCAAAAAATTAAAAATCGCTTTACTTAAGGATAAATTCCTTAAAAATCTGATGCGGTATCGTGCATCGACTGAA